CCATAGCCCCAGAGCCCAAAAGAACGTCTACGGAAGAGCCTGATGTAGAGATGAAGGATGGCGAAGCCGACCCTGCGAGTACCACTCCAGGAGTCGAGGAGCCTGAACCACCTACGCCTGAGCTTGATCCGCAAGACTACAAGGATGGGGAAGGTCGTTCAGTATCCCCGACGAAAACATGGTCGCACTACCCGACATCGAATCCAGATACTGAAGAACGGAAAAGAGCTGCCAAGCGCAGTGGGCAAGGTACAGCAACCGCTTCCAACTGGAAAACCGCCTATGACAACCTCAGAAGGGTCAGAGCACGCGCAGTGAGCCAAAAGGTGTGCTATTGTTGTGGTTCAAACCAACATCACCTGGCTATTTGTCCCAACACTGAGAAGAAGGACGAGTTGATGAACTCATTCTCTCACATGGAGGACACTATGCGCAAGTGCTTCACCGAGGACGACAAGGCAATCATCCGACGTGATGTTGAAAGCCGAAAGAGGAAAGCAAAGTCATCCAAAGACGTCGAAGACGAGGACTACATGGATGTGGATGATGAAGATATTGAACTTCCCGAAGAAGAGCCGGAACTAGGAGGTAAGGTACCCCTCACTCTCCGAGAGCCAAAGGTAGACCACACTCGTCAGACTCTGCAAAAGAGGAATACGCGAAAGCGGTCGAGGCAACCAAGAAGGCCTTTGGGAACGCCAGTTTCGTCACCAGATTCAAAGAGCCCGTCGACCTCTTTGACATTGCCGATGGCAAAGAAGGAGGAGAGTACAGGGTCGCAAATCACAGGGTTGATAGATCAGGTCCTAATGGAAAGTGGGAACTTGATGCACTTATTCAGGAGGCTGCAGCACTCGGAATAAAGATGCCCAAAGTGAAGGACCTTGCTCCTGACCCACAACAAGCTCAAAAGGTTGGATATCGGCAGATTGAGGTGACTTGCGATAGAGGAAGCATCGAGATAATTCCACAGTATGGAGTTACATTCTATGTGGAGTACTGGAATGGACCGAAGAGAGATGCAACTTTCACGGATCCACCAAAGATGAACCCAGCAACTCGCATCGACAAGTTCAGCGAGGAGAGTCAGCGGGTCAACGAGGTTAGCCATAGACTCAATAGACTACTCAGGCATGGAGTGGGAAAGCATAATGGGATTCAATCGCACCGCGGTCGAAAACCTCATGTGTCCCCGAAGTGCAATGAGGGTGGATGGGTGAACATCGATGAGATCCTGGAATATGACCATGTCTTCAACGATGGTGTCGATATCAGTACTATATCAGGTGATCGGCATCGTCAAGATGTCAAGACAGAGCGATACCAGTATTTATGCAAGGCGATGTGGCATGCAAAGAAGTTGCAGAACAGAGTACGCTATCAGATTGCCGCCATTCGTATCTCAAGGGAGGATGTCTCACTCGAAGAGGAAAGGCAATACTGGGCAAACCTCATGTATTACAGCACAGATGCACCGTCATTTCTGAAGCATGAACGTTGGATCGTTCCTTGTGCAATTCGAGCTGTTGCCTCTCACAATTCTGGAAGAGAGACTGTTCTTGAAGAGGATGTGTCAATATATCCTGTGTGGACTTCACATCTCATTCCAGAGAATGTGGCAATGCAGCTTGGAGGAAGCTTTCACATGACATCGCTTTCCAATGTTGAGTCAATCATGAAACTAGGAATTGTCCCTGGTGGAACGGAGGGATATAGAGGTAGTGTTTTCTTCAACCACTTTGCGCCGTGGGATGATCAATCATCAAAGATTCTGAGATCAAGATGGCCAAGAGTGGGAATGCCCGTTTGCCTTTATGTTCCAATCATGACTTTGAGGAAGCTTGGGGGAAGAATTTCGGAGAATTCCTACACTGTTGTTTTTAGAGAAGTTCCATGGAGATGTGTACGAGGTGCTTGGTATTGGGACGACTACGTTCAGGCATGGAGGAGACTCCTGCTGGGAAGCACTGGAGAGCAAGTTGTTCTAGCGGCACGTCATGGACTTTGGGTTGCTCAGAAGCATACCATCCTCGAGAGAGCCGACGAAGTCACGAAGTCAGCCTCGGCGACAGATGACAACGTCCAAAAGCTCGTGTCCATTATCGATGAAGTACAATTCGATGGCAATGGAGAGCTGATCGAGGATTCCATCAGTGAGGAAACTTGGGACGAAATCATCTCCAGAACATGTGAAGGGTATCGCAACGTGGATGGCAATATTTTGTGTCCATCATGTATGCATTTGACTTCTTCATCTTTGTCCGTGTGTCTATCTTGTCAAGGCAGGCTACTCTCGTGTGGTATTCGCAACACTGTCATTTCCGATTCACCCGTTGATCTTGTGAGCGACGATGAAGAGGAAAAGAAGGAAGAGAAGGAGCCTGAAGATGATGATCAAGATATCTTGGACCAGGCCACTATGGACGAGATCAGAAAGGCTTGGGAAGAAGACATCGCTCAAACTGAAGCAGCTGATGACGACGAGGACATGGACAATCTAGATCCTTCCAAACCGTCTGATGGTGCAGAAAACTTCAAGAGTGACAATGTCGAGACCCCATCTTTCAATGAGGACGAGATCGACTACGGTCGTGATTCTGATCTAGAAGATGAAGACGAACGAAACGTGATCATCGAGATCCAGAGGAGCACACAACAATATGAGGGGAAGAAACGTCAAGATGGTGAACCCGAGGATGAAGACGTCACCGACGACTTACATCCGGAGGCGAATCGACCGACAGATCGTGATGAACCGGGATACTATGCACAGCATGGAGCGACCGAGTTCAATCCCGAAGAAGGAAGAGACAACGAAGATCTCCCCATCTATTGTCGAGTACCGGAACCTCGAATCTATGCGCATCAAGAGAGAGCCTACTGTCAGGACGTCTCCATGAATGCATCGGGTTTGATGGATAGGTATGTGGTCAAATGTGTGCTGAACATGATCTCCCTGATGTACAAGAGCTACTATTGCACCAGCCTTACCGACTTCAAAGCAAATTGGAAAAGGAAGCGACTGGATGTGATAAGCAAGTTCGGTACAGGGGATTCCACTGAAATCGATGACGATGGGAGACCATTGGATCCAACAGATGATATGATGTTAATCTTTGCCAACGACAACAATATTACAACTGAGGAGGCCTGGCACCGATTCAGAGGAGAACAATTCATTTGCAAGGTGGCACTCGTGATCCTATCATTTGGTCATACTCCGCAATCCTTCAAGAAGGAATATGGCAACTTCGAATACCCCACCAACTTGACTGATGCCCAGCTTGAGGAGTTGAAAGCGAAGAAAGCCAGCGCAATGACTGAATTGGTACAGAAGTGCATCCATGCGATTTATGGGTGTCGGACATATTCTTACTTTAGAACCGACGTTACATCACCCTACCACAAGGTGATCGATCCTCTGGACATCATGTACTCGAGAATGAAGAGCAAGTGGGAGAAGTCTATTCTGTTGATCATTGATCAACATGAGATCAGGTTGCCCCCACAAGCTCAGGAAGTCATAGAGTCAATGGCCAGAAACCCCAACGTTGGACATACAGAGAGATGGATGAGCGTGGTAGAACATAAGCATGTTCAAGCTCTTACCAATCGTCTAGGCTTTGGAGATAGGGCCAAGGAGATTCAGGGCAAGAAGAAGCAGGCAGCCAAGGCAACAGCTAAGTCAACATCAACGACTAAGTCTGAAGCGAAAGCAGCATCTTCGTCAAGAGCTGAGGCAAAGCCAGCATCTACACCCAGAACCGAGGCCAAGCCGTCGTCAGCACCAAGTGAGGAGCCAAAACCTTCAACAGCACCTAAGAGTTTCGGGCCCTCATCAGCAGAGGAGAGCAAGGCGAAGGCTGCTCCAAAAGCCAGACCACATGATAAATCACCATCCAGTGCTACCGATGTGTTTGAGCAAGCTTTGCAGGAAGATCTTGCCGCCAACGCACATGCAGCAGAAGGTACAACTTCTTCATCATCCCGAGGACATTCCAAAGGAGGAGGCCAATCTGGAACATCGTGGAGGCCGGCGCTAACGCAAGAACGTCGCGAAGTACCTCAACCTTCTGAAAAGGGGAAGGGAAAGAGCAAGTCCAAGGGAAAGTCCAAGAAGGGAGAAGATGATCGGCGGGATGCTCAGGGCAGCTGGGATCAACGTGGATGGAGAGGTTATCGCCAGTGGTGATTTCTTTGAACGACTATGAGGATACCATGCAAACCAGGGAGGAAGTCATTCACCGGATGTCTATCTGACCTGAAACGCTGTAAGTGTATCATTGCAAATCATCAATACGATTTGATACCATGAGCATAATGGAAGGCAGACAGTCACCGACTGTCTCTCCGACTTGCCGTTCTGTAAGTGTATCCAAACCAAAACCTACATCTTTTGAGAAGTGTGAAGTCAGTTGCCGATGTGACATCTACGTGGAAGTCACCAGTTCGGATCTACATCAAAGCGATGCTCTTTTGAGTGGATACTGAGCGAGGCCTCGTGACTGTCTCACTTGTTCAATTCGATTTTTTTTCATAGGTTCTGAGCCATAGTTGCACACTTTATATGTAAAAGTCCGCTTTAGTCCAGCATGTTTCGTAGTATGAGCCTCATATGAGTCTCGCGGCAAATCATACAATTTCTTTTGTAGCACTTACATCCCTAAATTTTCGTGTGTGATCGGAACATATTGTTGCCGTTCACATGGGGGGTGCGAATGGAAGTGCAGCGACACGTACAGTGCAACTTGTACATATATATGTACCATATGTACTTTGGCTCAAGGATCAAGCGACTAGAAAAGGTGCGGTTTCCGTTCCGACGCTACGCCGCTTATGGACCGTCAGTGATAGCTTCAAACTTCGCTGATTAAGATCCACTCGCACATTGCAAGGTGTCCTCCTTTGAACGCTGCTAACTTCTAATATGTATTCTGTATACTGTATTGCAATTGTATATATATATAGTAATTTAATATATATATATATATATATCCCAGGCAGCCGATAGCGGCAATGCTGCTGGCCCTGGTGCCAGCTCAAGTGATGTTCAGTGGCTTTGCTGCACAACGGAACCGAAGGTCTCGTCTTCAATTCATGTGGGACAATGGGCCAATCATTGGGCATGGCTTTTGATGAAGAGGTGAACGTAGATCCAATTTTCTTCGTAATGAATCTGTCCAGGTCCGAAGCTGTGGACGTGGTGTCCAACGAGCACGAGACAGATGATCCGGAGATGCAGCGGCTGAAGGTGCCTGAAGGTCGTTTGAAGAAGGTTTCTGGTAATTAGAGTGGACTCATAGGTGCTCTTGACTTGGGTACTGGAAGCATCAATAGGCCAATAGGCTAAACAGCCATTGTTTTAGAAACGATGTCGCACTACAACACCAGATCAATGTTCTTAAATCAGTCGGTTGGTTTCGTTCGTGGGCAATCCTGATGCAAATTCCCATGATCCGAACAAATGGCCCGGCCTTGGGCCTTGGATTGCTACATCACCCCTAGGATAAAAAGGACTAGGGAAAACGACCATGGCTTAGGTTCAAAACACCCATAGATACCCATAGGGAAATCCTGAGAATGCTATTCAGCAGATTGAAACAGTCACTCTTGCTGTTCGGCCAAATGCTGGCAAGCAGCCTCGTTATCATCCCAAGACAGAGCAGTCACGTGTCCGATGGTCTCTAAACGGCAGAGTCATTTGGTGTATCTATAGTTCTCTCTCTCTCTCTCCCTAGGGCTCTCTGTCCCATCTCAGGTGACCGGTGGTATTCGACCCCCCTGGCACACACCCCAACATACCCATCGAACCGATTGCCGGAGGTGGGCCAGGAGCCCCAACGGGTCGAAACATCCGAAACCGCGGCCTAAACATCAGCCCAAGAACCTTCGAACGGAGTCAGCAACTGCAACCCCTATGAAGATGTTCTTCCATTTAATTGGGGAGGGTTGATTTGATCAAGAGTCTACATTAAATGTCACGTCATGCCCTTGTGCAGGGCCAAGTCAGAGCTCTCTTCGAGGGCCTTTGACGCGAAGCTGTGAACCCTACTTTTCCAGCTGCGGTCGCTGGAGGGAAGGCTGCGGGGATGGCTGGGTGTCCGCACTCTGCCCTGCAATTCCCATTCCGATGCCTCTTTGGTCCATGTTGGAATCCTTTTCAACTCGGAATGAGCTATTGAGGCCGAGCTCCTAAAGCTCATTTCTTCCCGGGCCAGGTCGGTGATCGAAGCATGCAGAATAAACCACGAAAGCTACCGCCTACCGCTACCATCTTCTTTGTTGGAACCTGCTTGGCTCCAGAAGGGTCTACAGGTTCGAGACAAATTGGAGAACCTGACGGGTAAGTTTGGATGCATCACCCATAATACACTCCATGGGACTGCCATATATGCCGATCAGTTGGGGTGGTTTGGGGGGTCTATAGGCATATGTATCATATATGCCATACATGGAGTGTCTGGGTCATGACATGTATTTTTGTATCCATGTTAGCTCAAAGAGTGTGTCCATCAAAACGTTGATTCCATAGACTTCCGTTTCATTCGGCGCTTGAATTGCGCTTTTGCCCAACGCACCAGCCCTGGCCTTTTTTTGCGGTCCGATGGCATACATCATACATGGAGTGGACTCCGAAAACCCGCCAAGCTGAACCGGGAGAACCGGGATGTCTAGCGCCCCAAACGCCGTCGCCAGGAGTCTGGAGCTCGACGTGGCGTACGTCAGTCGACAGAGCGACAGCCCGACGTCAGCTCGACGTGGAACATGAAGGAACTCTGGCCCGAAACGGAGAGGTGGACTGGTGAGGGGGCCGGTTTGGCAATCATTTCATGCGCCGCATGCGCTGCCCTCCACCACTTAGCACACAAGTTGTGGACTATTGAGTGTAACCGTAGCAAGTAATGCACTGTTACTAGTCTAGAGTCTAGTAGCATCTTGCTTGTACATGATTCTATAGGATACTCTAGGACCATTCCCATCCAACTCGAAACCCATCACAGACCGAAGTTGATCGTTGGGAACCCTCAGTTTTTGATTTGGACCCCCTCGTTTTGAGGCGATCCACACCGTGACAGCCGTGACAGCCGTGGCAGCTGGTCAACATGTGCTTTGACGCAAGAGGCTACTGAAAAATATGACCGGGCGCTAGCAATCACAATGATCAACATATTTCTGATTTGCTTGCTTCTTGTTTGTCATTTCAGATGCCTATGGCCTATGCAACATGTTCGAAGAGTTGGCATAGCACGGCTCAACGCGCAATGCCTTCGGTTCCAGCAGATGTGTTGTGGTGGTTTATTGTGACCAGCTTCCGCAGTGGATCACCCAAAAGGCCGCACGAAAAGAACCAATTTTTGGGGGAAAACAAGACTTGGACATCTCATCAGGCTAAGACCATGGAACGCAGGAGTCACCCTGCCCCAGAGATTGGAACCGGCCACGTGGCGGTGGTTTGGGGGGTTTGGAACTAGAAATCGGTGGTGGTTTGGGAAAACCGCTTCTGGAACTCACCGTAGCCACAACCCCACCAGAACTTTGTGCTGATCACGAGACAACCTCTGACTATAGCTCCCACTGCTACGATATGTGAGATCAGGTGACCACAGGACCTATAGCCTCCTCAACCACAACCCATCAAGCCCCATCAAACCCAACAAAATGTCCCTTTGCATGTTCCACTTTCCAAGTTTTTCAACATGTTCTTCCCACTTCTTGGCGCGGCACCTCCCCTGATTCTCGTGCTCCCCGGGCCCAGCGACTGCTGCCACACCGCGCTTGGCCCCCTACCGCCGCCATGGCGATGCTTTTCGCAGCGTCGGCGCGTGATGCGAAGAAGACCCCCTCGGACGCTGGCAGCGACTCCGAAAAGACGGGCTTCGTCGCTCGGCGAGAGGAAAGGTGTGGAGGGAGGAGGGGCAGGACTTGAGCAGGATTTGGTTGGAAGACAGTTCAAAGTGAATCAATGGGGAATCAGGAGCAAGATCGTTCATTACTTGGGGAGGCTGGTGGAAGATGGACGTGCGCATGAACTGACAGTGAACTGCACGTGCAGTGTGTTCAGACCCTCCTTAGTCCTTCCTCGCTCCTTCGTCGCCTCGCTCCCCGTCCTTCCTCGCTCCGCACCCTCGCTCCCCTCGGCCTCGGTGCATGCGTCGATTCCGCTACCCTCGCACCGCCTCGTCGCGTCGCACGTGCGACGGTCCGGGTGCGACGGTCCGAGGCGCACGGCCACTGGAACGCCACGGGGAAGGCGCGGAACCGGACGCGGCGCTCGGAGTTGGAGGTGCACCGGACCTATGCGCTGCCCCCTGTACCCAAGGACGGAGCGGTTCGGAGAGGATCGGAGGATCGCACCCGTTTTCTGAGCAGAAAACGATGGTCATTCAGCTTCTGAAGCGGACTTGGTTGTTCACTTGAAAATACTCCACCGAGCCACACTGCGGGACTCCTTTTTCCGCCCACGGTCCAAAAAAATAGAGAAATGAGAATAAACCAATATCAATTCAAGATCCAGCAGCAATACCAACTTGGCCCCCTGGGTATGCCTTGGTTGCAGTATATCCGCTTGATGTGGTGCTGCTTTTCCCGTAGCCCATTGGTACAGTGGATGCTTTCTCCACCCCATGAGAGGGGGACATCTCACCTTCCTCTGCAGGAGCTGAGCTGGGCGAAGCTCCGATTCCGTGGAGTCGAGGAAGGAGATCCTGAGATGCCTGGGCTTTGCTCATGGTGTTTCAGGGGTGGTCCTGGGGCGAGTTCAGATGGCTGAAATTAATTGAAATTAGACCATCCCTGTCGGGATTTACATATGTTAATGTGTTTGTCTCATGTATATGTTTACGTCAGGACAATCCTGTTGCGGTGTTGGAAGCCTAGCCTTAGAAAGGACTTGCAAGCAGCCCTCAGACAAAAGGACGTGTACAGCGACAGAGAGAGAGAGAGAGAGCTCAAGTTAATCGTTTAGATTCGTTTAGTGTGTGTTTGTCATTTTCTGTTATTCAGTTTTGTCAGAGTCATGTTTTGTCATGTTATCATTTGTTTTCATCTTAAGAAATGACAACAAAGTGGCAGTGGCAAAGAAAATTACTTTCAGGAATACACATGACAAAAAAGGGAACCATGAACGTTAAATGACAAAATAGATAAATTAAAAAATTTCCAGTTCAAAGCTGGCTGAGACCCTTGAAGCCTAGCCAAGAGATGGCCATTGGTGTCCCCTTAGAGGGTTCATGTTCGTTTTCTGGGAGGACGTTCCTTTCAATTCAAGAAGATCCATGGAGCTGGATTTAAGGTATGCCATTTGTGCACTGCATACCGTTTTCTGAAAGCCTGGGGCAACTGCGTGTTGCTTCAGTGCTTTCACAAATGGCCGCAGTACACGACCAAGTACCGTGCCGTGTTTGAAGTGCCGGGGTCATTTCAACTTCTAAGGATGTTAGCCGTGGACGAGGAAGTGCGGAATTTCTATCCCAGTGTCGGGGAGCTGGATGCTTGGAGCGGGTTCACCACTGGGGAGCGGTGGGTTCACACCACTGGGGTGTCAACCACGCACGATGTGCGGAAGGCATCAAACGTGGAGGGTGTTCATTAGGGGGTTTGGGTGTGGTATGGTGAGTATGGTGTGGTGAACCAATTTGCAGTGTGATTGTGACTGTGTTGTTTAAGCTGATTGTTCTAAGCACGATTGGGCTCCAGGAACTCGCGAGGGCTCCAGGAATAGCTTCATTCATGGTGTTTGTTTCATATGGGATGGTCGATGGTGCACTCGACGTTTGATGCCGGTTGACGACAGCTGTCACAGGAGGCAGCTTGACTGTGGGGTCATTCGCTGTTTGGGCCAACATATGCCAACATCCATAGGCTTGCGAGGTCCAAATCACCAGTGGTGCTCAGTGGCCACAGGAATATTTGTTAGGCATTTGCATTTGGTTGTTCTGCTAACCCCGTCCTTTGGGGTGGAGGACGACTGCAAGAGTATCCATCTAAAGCGGGTGGCAAATATGCGCACTCACACGCGGGGAGAGTATAGCGTCAGAGAGAAGGAGAACACGAAAAGGACAAGGTCAGCAGCATAATAATAAGTTCTATGTGGCAGGCAAGCACCGGTCTTTGTCCTTGGCTCTAGCCCAATGCAAACCCACATGTGTCGCATCTATGATCCATTGATCCATTTGGAATTACAACATGTGACAGCTTTTGCTGAGCATAGTGAGCTATATATACAGTGTGGTGTGAGTGTGGGACCCCTTGCATCCAGTTCTAGGCATGCTGGCAATTCTAAGGAGCCCTTGCACGTGGTGGAGGCACGTCGACGGGGGGAACAGCGCTGTGCGGGTTTACTGTGATTCTCGCAGTGTGACAACTAACGATGAACGATATTTGAACCTCGGTCGGTCATCTCAGAGGGCCAAGAGGTGCCAATGCTCTACACAATTGAGCACCCATTGAACACTCTACAATAGCATTCCGAACAACATTCCAGCTCTTCTTCACCAACCCATAGCCATAGATGTTCCACACAGTCTTCCCACATTTAACGATCAACAAAAAGAAACACCTCAATCACCTCAATCACCTCCGCAATGTCCTCCTCGCACCGCAGTGCTCGTGCGTGGTTGCTTCCATGCTGCCCGGCGATTCCTCCAGGACCGGCGGCCCAGTTCGACCACGGAGCCCAAGAGCCGACGCATCGGCGTGGTGTCGCTCTCCAACGCCGTGGCGGCCAGTGGGACGCACAACGCCATGCTGGGCTTGAGAGACTTCATGGACCGAAAGGAGTGAACCGTGGGGAAGGGTGATGGAGCCACCCACCAGGGTGGGCCGAGGGGAGGGTGTTATGAGGACTGCGTGGGTTTTAGATGGTTTTAGAACGGCCAGGTGGATCTTGGTGTTTTTAGTTGTTTTTTTTTGGGGGGGGGGAGGGAGGTGTTTTTGATGCGCGTGGGGTGACTCGGGTTCAGGTGATTTTGGAGGTGGGAGGTGAAGAGGTGAAGATGAGGACTAGTTTTTGTCTTCTTGAGGGAGGAGTGGCAGGGGTAGAGAAGCAAGGGTGGAGAATGGGAGAGGAGTGTTCAGATGGAGTGCAGAAGGGTAAAAGTGCATGTTTGTATGTAGGATCAAACACGCATTTATGCCAGACACTGTATAGCTTCGAGCAGGTTCTAAGTTTGCCCACCCAGATGTGGAGTGTCCAGGTATATATTTGATCAGAGGTGGCATGGGTATACCAAAGTTCTGTGATGCGAGACCACTTCCCGTCACCCATTTTCAAGCCATAGCCACATGGAACGGCATTGTTTTCATGGAAGGGCAGTCAACATGTGTTGTTTGTAGCTTTCTGTTTGGATGCTCAAAGATTTTTTGAGTGTAGTGAGCCCCGTCCTGGGTTTGTGCGATCACCCTTTTCGACTTGCTGAAATCCTACTTCTGGCTATCACTTGTTTGTGCATTGGGTGCTGCCTTGGTGGCTGTGTGGTGGCAATTTGCCTGAGTCCTCGACTGCAGTGGTTTGGAACGCGCTTGTTGGTCTTTTTGCTGCAAGAGGCAGAGATCAGACCGCGTGAGGGCGGCTTGGTGGGGCAAGACCGCCTCTTGCGCTACCGTGCGTGAGGGCACGTGAAAGCCACCTGCAAGACCCTCAGGACACATCACATACTCCCATCACGACCAACTTGCACCTTCATCTCAAACTGGTGATCAGAATACTTGGGACGAAGTTTCAGGGGGTGAGCCGGAGAACCCAGATCCGGATCTCAGTGTTTGTCGCACTGGGGATCTTTTGTTTCTGGAGCGACAGGCTGACGGTGCTGGAAAGTGGCTTGCGTGGGGAAATACCCTACAGGCCTGTGAGGTTGAAAAGCAACAAGACGGGACAGCAGCCCTTCTTGATTTCCAACCTGGACTCTTCCGACACGATTGGACTTGGTACACCAAGAACGTGCAAGCTGTTTTCTGAGCTGTCAAGCTCCAGGAGAGACTTAGAGCGCCTGATCGTCACAGCCCTGTGTCAACAGCCTTTGCCAGTTTCGCCGCAGGTGGAGCATACTTGGCAGGAGCAACATGCCGGTTGCCGAGAGAGCCTTGAAGACCCTGAAGTGTGTCAACCCTCGAGGAGACGAAGTCGATGTCCTTCTTCTCAAATGGCCCGCAGACAGCGATGCGTGGGCGATCTGCTTGCCTTGTCGAGTCAGCAGCACAGGAATTATCCTGGCTGTGCCGGGAGATGCCATTCCAAAGGAGGATCTGGAAAGGGGCCAACAGGCCGCAGCCGACGACCTGATGGGCCCAAATGCTCAGGTTACAGTCAGTCTGCAGGAAAACTCCGATCAGATCATCGAGGTGCAGTTGGTAGAGTTCACTCTGGATGTCAGACACAGCCTGGAAAGAAGGGCGCCTCGCAGCCGTCGCCAGCACAAAAGGTTTGCGGACAGCCAGGACCTCCCCAACTTTGCGGAGCTCGACGATGCGGTGGAAGGCTGGGTAATGAGCGGGTCACTTCGAGACACGGGATGGCAAACCGCCCAAGAAGCTCCAGTGCCGGAGCCTCAGGGCTTAGACCAAGTGCTCACTGCTTTGGCAAAACTGGAAAGCCGCATGGACCAGCTGCAGAGAAAAGTAGACAGCAAACCTTCCAATCTTCACCAAAGCACAGTTGCAAAGGACAAGCCTGGGAAGAAGGTGGTCGAAAAGTCAGAAGAAAAAGATTGGGCCGACATTTTGAAGGCTTTGAAAGAAGAGGTTGGGCCTCGTCCCAGCAAAGTCTTAGACGAACCTGCAGCTCGCACCACAGCGCAGGAGCTAGTCAGCTTGGTGGAAGAAGAGATGGCTGCGTCGTCTTCAACGCCTTCTGTGGACGACATGATGAAGCTCAGTATGTTGAAGCTACTCAAGGACCTTCAGGGAAAGACAAGCAAGAAGAGCAAAAAGTTGCCGGGCTTGATAGGGGGCATCGGCAGTTCCTCAGAAGAAGAAGGAGGAGAGACTTGGTCCTCCACCAGCCGAGGAGGCAAAGCCATCGAGGCGGTGGAAAAGCTTCGAGCGGCCATGAAGCAAAACCCTGGAGCCTATTTGGAGAAAATGGAGATGCGAATGCAGCGTGCTGTAGGAGCAGAGGAGATGGGTCCCACCATCCCCGAAAAGTTCATCCAGTCAGTCCCGGTTGGGCGATCTCGAACTGCCGGGTATGCTCTGACAGGCTTTGCGACCATTCACAAGCTGATGTTGGAAGGAAAGGCTCGACAAGCCCGCCTTCACACTGTACGCATGATGGCAGCCATGGAACAGTTTTTGTTGGACGAAAGCTGGGGAGTGGCAAGCCGCCTGACAGGTGTGGAAGAGCCGCCGTGGGCCCATTGGGCCAGTCAAGACCTTCCCTCAATCCGAAAGCAGTACATCTACACGCGACTGATGGACGCGACATGGATTGGAGCGATCATCAACGAGCTGAAGGAAGAAGAATGGCTGCTGAAAAAGAGAGGAAAAGGGGGCGGCAAAGGCGAGCAAAAGAACAAAGACGACAGGCAAAAAGACAAAGGGGAGTGAAAGTTCAAGACGAAGACCTTGAGCTGAAGAACGAAAGCACTACGACTTTTTCCAAAGGCCAAGACTACCAAATTGCGTCTTGGTTGGAAGACCTTCTGGATTCTATGCGGCGGTCTTCCTTGCCTTTCTCCTGGTATGTGATTAGCACTTTTACCAGTAGCGCAGCTCCACCACCACCAACTTCAAAGAAGGAGTTGTTTCCTTGCCCGCCTCCTTTCCCTTGGAGAAATGACAACATGTCGCTTCGAGGACGATCCCGGAGAAGGGCAGCCAGGTTCCGCGCTCGGAGGGCGACTGAATTGTGGACCAACCTCATGGTCTGCGCTCTTAGCCATCAAGCTCTGGGAGTGAAGGTTGCCCCGGCACGAGGGAGGAGTGGAGTTCCACTCAATGTGGCACAGAGGGAGATGACAGATTTCCTCCTGAAGCTGAGTCGCTCGATGGTTCGCCTGAGTTCCCCGGAGCTTGGATGCGGCCTCCGGCTACCAGCTGTGAAAGATCATCTGAACCAGCTGAGATCTGAATTAAGTGCATGTGATGTTTTGCCGTATGCCCGTTCAAAGAGATCGTTTGGCGAGAAAAGTTCAGACGCAGCTTTTGCTGCCACCAAGGCACTTCCAGTGGTTGCTGAGAGGCTCAGTCTCCCTTCTCAGGTGTCAAACTTTGACCCAAGGCCTTATTTGTCAGAAAAGTTTCGGGAGATTTATGAGAACCCCGATGTGATCCTCAAAGCCCCGGAAGACATGCCACCGCCGATGCACATAAAGGGCACCGCTACCCGTGCAGAATTGTTAAAAGTCTTTTCTCGTTGGGATGTTTTGGACCGGTTGTTTGTGTGTCGCAGTGATGAAGTTTGCTCTTTGGATAGGTGTGAGCTTTTTGCTGTTGCTAAAGATATGGATAAAGACCGTCAAATTTTGCACAGGAAGCGTAGGAACAAAAGAGAGTATCATGTGGTAGGAGAGTCACGGAACCTTCCTCATGGTGTTTTGTTGACTCAGTTGCCTCTGGGAAAGGACAAGGTTTGTGTTTGTTCTGTTGATGACATTCGTGACTTCTACCACGCCTATGAAGCTACAGAAGCGAGGGCTCGGAGCAGCCCAGTCGGGCCAATTTTGCGGTGGGGTGAGGTGGCTCATTTGAACGCTGCAAAGGCAGCTCTGGCAGCCAATCGGATCACGAAACATGACAAGTTGGTGTGTTGTTTTCGGGGTCTGGGGATGGGCGACCATGCTGCGGTTGACATAGCTCAAGAAAGTCATGTGAACTTGTTACGCAGTAGGGGCGCTCTTCTCCCTGACGAAACCCTGAACTATAGACAACCTATCCCAAAACCCGAAAGTGGTTTCTATGAGGGCATCATGATTGATGACCACCTGGGGGTACAGTTGTTGCCTTGGAAAGGCAGCGTTGAGAAAACTCTTTCCCAGCCTGGTCGAGACGTGGAAGCTTTTGCTCAGGCAGGTTCTGCCTATAATTCGGTTAAGCTCCGAACCCATGAAGGCAAGGAAGTTCGACGAGCTTTTCATGCACGAGTATGGGGTGCCGAGGTGGAAGGCATCGCAGGGCTCATTGGACCAGCCCGGAACAAACTGCTCAAGCTGGCTCAACTTTCGGTCTTGATGACTGAAGCGGGGCCAGTGGATGAAAAAATGATTGAGGCGATCACAGGGCTGTGGGCTTTCAATTTACAGTTCCGCAGACCCCTGTTTTCTTTCATGTACGAAATTTACCACCAACTTTCCCCGGGGGACCCTGGTGAGCTGTTTAAATTGTCTCCCGGCGCCCGAAACGAACTTTTGGTTCTGGCCTGTTGCGCTCCCCTTTGTATTTGCGACGCCCGCGCTCTCCCGGACCCCTTTCTCTACTGCGTCGATGCGTCTCCGTCTGGGGCGGGTGTTTGTCGGGTGGAGGTGGGGGAAATGGTGTCGGAAGAGGTCTGGCGTCGAGGAGACAAGGTGGGGTACCGCATGCCTCTGCTGACACGGTTGCAGTCTACCTTGAAGGGTAGCGGTCATAATGAGGAAGATCTGTGGGACTCAAGCTCTGATGAGAGTATTGGGGGCGGGGGAGAAGCGTGCGATTGGGAGCATGGATTTCTTGACTGTCTCAGGAAAGAGTCTCCTGCGCTGGTTCTGTCCGAAGAGCCTTTTGATCTGTTGGAAATCTCCGCCGAATGTGGTCAAATGTCTCAATCTTGGATAAGGAAACGGTTGCGTGTTCTCCCGCCTTTGGATTTGAAAAAGGGTTGGAGCTTTATGGATCCTCAAGCGTTTGTTGGGTTGATGTCGTTTATTAAAGCGAGAAAAGTGAAGTTTCTTTGGTGGGCCCCCCCCCCGTACTACGTTTTCTTTGGCTAGGACCCCTAAAGTGAGATCGCTGGATGACCCATGGGGTTTTGACGTGTTGACTGAACGTGTGGTAGAAGGCAACCTTCATGTTTGCCAGTGCATCCTGCTGGCAGGTGTTCAAATGGCGGTCGGAAATTTCATGACAGGAGAAACTCCTGCCAGAGGCTGTTTGAAAGCCTTCCCTCCTTGGATACATTTGACCACGATGACAGGTGTTTTTGAGCTGCTTTTTGACTGGTGCCGCTTTGGCCAGAGCTGTAGGAAAACGACTAAGTTAATTTCTAACTTTCCGCCTGTGCGGCGGCTGGGCTTGCGATGTTGTCACCAGGTTCAACAGCGACACTTGGTTGCGAAAGGGGTGAAAGGGGAAAATACCACCAACTGGGGGGTCTACTCGAACTCCTTTTGTGACCGCGTGGCTGACGTGTTTGTGCAATGGGCTCTGGTTGTGTCCCCCCCCAATCCGTTTGGGATGGATGCCCCTGAAGGTTTGCTTTGTGCGGGGGATGGAGATCGGAACACTTCTCATTTTTGTCAACGCGTTGACTCAACTTTGGCCCCGCGCCAACGGCGGAAGCGGAAAGGAGGTTCGGCCTTGTGGGCCGTGCAGCTGTCAGAAGGTTTGACGTGGAAACCTTGGATCAAATACCAGTTTCGCCAAAAAGAACACATTAATTTGCAGGAAACTAAAGCGCGGCGAACCTTGTTTAAAAGGTTAGGTCGTGACAAAAGGGTTGTGGTTGCTCAGGACAGTCGTGTGAACATTGGATCTTTGGGCAAAGGGCGGAGCCCCTCCGCTTCCCTCAATCGAATTATGCGCTCCGAAGCTCCGTACATTTTAGGTAAAAACTTGCATGTGTCTAGCATTCATTTCCCTACTTGGTCACTAAGAGCGGATGGCCCAAGCCGAAATCACCAGGTGTTAGGCGCACGCACCCCCCTACCAGTTTGGTTTTGGAAGCTGCGGACTGGCGCCCGCGAGGCTTTGATTCAGCTAGATGAGTTGCAGGGCTTGCCACGGGCCTACAACCGCTGGTTTCTTCTGGCTGGTTCTTTGTTGTTGCGGAATGGTGAGCGGAGCTCCCAGACCTCCTCAGATGCAGGTGCGAGACCGTGCTTTGATCGAGCGAGGTCGTGTGACGGCCCGTACTCAGAGCATCCGACAGGACCTGCTTACCAAACTGGAGGTTTGGTTGGCAACTCAACTGCCCGAGGTTACTTTGGAGGATTTGGCTCGGCATCACATCGATGTTTTGTCCGAGTGGCTCGAAGAATATATGGTCACCTTATATCTGGATGGTCAGAGCCGCAGGTCAGCAGCCGAGACTCTGAATGTGGTGGTCCAAAAGTTTGGTTGGCTCAGATCCTCTCTTGCCGCGCCTTGGAGTGTACTCAAGACATGGGACATGTTGGAGCCAGTCACTCATCACCCGCCTATGCCGGTGCAAGTGCTCTATGCTCTTGCGGGTACTGCCATGGCATGGCAGTGGCCGCACTTTGCGGCGTTGCTGGTACTGGGCTTTTTTGGATTATTGAGACCCTCAGAGCTTATAGGTTTGCGACGACAAGATCTGTCTCTCCCGCAAGACCATTGGGGCGACAATGTGATCTACATTCGAGTTTCCCAGCCGAAAACTCGTTTTCGGGCAGCTGCGGCGCAACATGTGCGCCTCGACGAGGCCGGCATCGCCGGCTGGGTGCAGACGATTTTCGGCTCGATGCCGATGTGGCGGAAGCTTTGGTGCGGCTCTTTGGCTTCTTTCAAAACCAGGCTGGACTTGGTGCAGCGTGAAGTGCTGACTACGGTCGCGTTTTTGCCAAGCTCACTGAGGCCCGGTGGCGCCACCTACCTGTTTCGTCTGTGGTCAGAAGACCTGATTCGTGTTCAGTGGCGAGGTCGCTGGAAATCCTTTCGTATGCTCGAGACTTATGTACAGGAATTAGGTGCTGCTGAGATCTGGATTCGTTTTCCTGTAAAAACACGAAATCGCGTCAAGGTTTTGGGAGACTTGTTTTTGCGTCTTTTGCATGTCTGTGGTCCTGTGGCTGCCACCACCGCCAGCAATGCACCCGAGCCCGCCCGCCCGTGATGGGTAGGGTGGGACACAGAGACAAGAATTTGAAGAATTTGAAGTCAGTGTCCCAGTCAAA